TCAGATTCAGAACCGGAGTCTAAATCAGAATCTTTCTCTTCTTCTTTCGGTCTTCATCAAAAATCACTGAACACTTTGATTTTTGAAAAGATTCTGCAAAGTTGAGCAGTTCATCTGCACATCGGTGCGAGTCGATGTCAGTGGTACACCATACATTTTAAGGTTTCCTTGCCTGGCTGCCAAAAGGGCGCGCGTTTCAGCATTATCTTACTACTCACATTACTCGATGAGTTATGATGTTTCTTGTTCAAACAACTAAATTGCGTACACAACTTTACATTATCATAACAAGCAAAAAAGGGCATAATTCCCGTGATCGCTTCGAAACCTGGCCAATATTCCGGTAATGCGACATTGCGCGTGATCACTGATCGGCGCCCCCTTTTCATTTTTGCGCCCCCCAAAAATTGCCAGCTGGGGGGGCCGTGGCCCCCCGGCCCCCCTGCCAGCACGCCACTGACTACAGCGAAATGCTGAGTTATGTGAATTTGCTTTTTGATTTGTCAGAACAACAATATAGCTTAACAGCATGATGTCAAAGTTGCTAAGCATTGTTTCTTGTTTATTTTGCAAATGTTTTTAGCCATTCTTTCTTTGTAAAATTAATGGGTTTCCGAGGAAGTGTTAAAACCATGCATTGCATAATTATATGCTGGTCAACTTAAAAATTTTTACACTTGTAGAAACAACAATATTACTAAAACTACATTTTTCAGCTGAGAACAATTCTTTTCTCATTCAAATAACTGAAGGTTGACCACCATAATATAATATTGCATATTTAAAATAGCACTACCAATTTTCACCAACTATTTTCAAGCCAGGGGAATTGAACCAATCGAATAGTCCAAATATACACTGTATATAACCAATTACGTTGCTTCTCTCGATTCGTTTCGCGCGAAATTATTTCGTTCGTGCACTGATTGACGGATGTACTAGCTCGACACTAAAAACGCCGTCTTGAAAATCCAATTAAAATATTTATTTGATTTCTTATAAAATTCTTTTACTTTCGAGTGATATAAAATGTGCTGAGGTACATTTTCCAATGTCGTGCGCTTCGTTGTTTATGAATTAATGTTCCTCCTTATGATATAACCCTATATTTTTAATTCTGCAATTTATACTGTAACATTACAATTTACAAAAGAAATCATAATAATGAGATTTGAAAATTATATCTCAAATTTCGAAATAATTATGCTGAGCGGTAAAAATAGGAAATCACAACTGTATTAGAAGGCTTGTGACTTACGTCACACAATTTTCAATCCATGTGGGTCAAATATTCATTGTTTGACAGTGACGTGACGTAAGGACTTCTTAGGTCAATTAGCATATAAAAAATTTCGGCAATTGTAGAACTTGAGATGTCATATCAAATCCGACTATTCGGACATTGTCCGGTAAAATTTTATGACTTCTGAGAGTGATTATTATTATTGCAAAATGTTGTCACTTGAAAGTAATAAGATACTCAGTGTAATACTCGTAGTCTTGAAACATTACATAAATTGTTGGCTTTGCAGGGTTGTTGACCACCGAGTCATATGTTTCGTACGTATTGGCAGGAGTTTTGTTGGGAGGAACTGGCATATCAGACTTTCCCTGTGTGTAATCTCCTACCAAAACTCTGGCGTAATACATGTAGCGAAGACCCTGCGAGTCTGGGGGCGAATATTTCGTATCGCAGGAGTAACTAGCATCACGAGCGAAGTAAACACCTTTGCCAAATTTCGTGCCTAGAAAAACAAAAAATATGCATTGAAAGAACACCGCAAACTATACAACAACAACGAGGACGACAACATCGGAGCTCGTTTGACGTTGTTCAGTCAATTTCGTTGTATTTATTTGGTTGTAATTTGCATTAATAAGTGATGAAGAGAACACAAAGGAAATTATGACCATGATAAAGCCTACATAACTTACACAAAATATCTCTCAATTTGTTTCATATTCCTCTGTCATTAATTAATATAACAATAATACAGCACAACAAAATGACTTGGAGTACAGTTATTTGTACAGTGGTATAAAAACCTTACTAGCAGAGTAGCAAACAATTTCGCCAAATCATCAGATGAAATCAATGACGCAGCCAGGGTCTAAACTTTAGGTGGAGGGGAAGGGAGGGGGAAATTTTTTTATGGCATTTCGACTGCGAGCGCTAAAGGTGCGAGGAATCTGGGGGGTCGGGCGGGGGGGAATGCTTCCCTGGGACAATTTTGAATTTCTAGATTTTGAACGCTATTTCACGTATTTTAGGACGAGGTTTGAAAAAAGTTACAACCACAAAAAGCCATTTTTAAGTTGCCTAATGTTGTTAGATCGAAAAAAATTTGTAAAATATTGTACTGTACGCACAAATACAACAGCAGAATAGCACGATGTCTTCGTTTTTGTAATAAAAAGAATGAAGCTCACTTGGCCACAATATTTGAACTTTGAAGCCGAGTTGGTCATGACTGCTGCTATGCGCGCAAATTCAAGTTCAAATGTGCTTCAGTTCAATAACCATAGGCATATTTTACTGGACTTCGATTCTAGATAGTAAAGGTTTGAAAGGTTACAACTTTTACCGGTCAACAAGAGAGATAAGTATCATTATTCACATATCGTACCCCATCTCAATTTCTGCTCGGATTTCAGCTTTTCACAAAGGCAGTTCCTGTCCATCTGCCCATTGGGTTGGGGGAGCAGAGCCCCTTCCCCCTGGTTACGTCATCAGATGAAACAGACTCCAGATGTCTGGCTTGTAAACTCAGGATTCGAATTATTGTTGTCTTGTTACAGTGGTACAAAAAATGTCGGAATATATAATTTTGAATCTTACCATTTTTTCCTGCGAAATTTCTGTTCAATCCACCAGAATTAATTTTCTCAATATTTTCCACGGAAGTGCCATGAAAGAGCATTAACTCTTTGCCTGCAAAGTTACTGCCAAATTTCCTCATCATTGCTTGCCGTTTCAGATTATAGAGGCCATAAATTTCTCCATTTTGAATTCTATCGATGCGAGCAATTTGATTCGGAGCCGTTTTATGGAATGCAGTTTCAATGTCCTTGTATTCTTTACTGCTGGTGGGCACACTGATCTTACGGAATTTCTTATCAGTCGGTGAGTTATCCCAGTAATCTGGAACTTAAAATGGATATAATAGATATATAGTAGTTAGAATGATCGTCAATTTATAAAGCAGAACATACATGGTAATTATTGTAACTAATGTTAACCTGTCCCAATCTAATGCCCGACGGATCTACTTCTCAAGAACATTCTTGGACGTTAATCAGTGTATTTTTCAATGAATTTAAATACGTGCGAGTATATCTGGAATAGATTGGACGCGATTGCTATTTTATATTTATATATTTTACATGAATTTTGCGAGCAATTCACCAACTCTGACTTTTATATATGATACAGTTTATTTTAGCTTAGAAAATCGAAACTGACGTTTATGATTTGCAGACATTGATTAAACATTTACTTCCTTCGCGAATTATTAGAATGTGTTTCGCATCAAAACTATATATTAACATTAATTACCTTAGTTCATCACAGTTTTACCTTTGCTTTCGTTATCTTTGATATCCTTCAGAATTTTATCAATCCTTCCTTGCATATTTGCAATGTCAGCAATACATCCTTCTATTGTAACCATCCCTTTGCTCTTATCAACTTTAATCTTAACGTCATTATCACGCTCCAGTTCATGCAGCTTCTCAAGATCTCGGTCAGTAAAATTCTTGATGACGTCATTGTTTATGATCCTCTCATGAATATTTTGACGCATCTTTCTTCTCAGTTCTTTCCAGGCTTCGTCAATCTTCTCGCGGTCATCTGAGTAAATCCTAATCGATATGCCCTCATTTCCTCCTACCGACTTTGCGGGTGTTCTAGAATGACTTGCGCATGCGTCGGCTAGCTGTGGGTCCAAATTGGTGGCACCCCCTGAGGAGAAATAATATTTGGTTGCGTCTTTGAATTTGGCAAACTTTGCCCTTTCGAAAATCACAATGCGGGCCAGATTCAAAGTCGAATTCTTCGACTCCGCAATCCTGGACAAGTTATCAAATATCAATTCGGCCGATTGTCGTGACGTTCGCAATCTGCGTGTATTATACGCAATTGTCAGGATTAATTCGTTTATATTTTGAACTGACAAGTAACTCAACGCAACGTTTCGTTTCTTTTATATTAAACTTGAATCACTTGACGTAAAACGAATTACGTCTACTATAAATACACGCAGGTATGAAATAGAATATCAAAAAATCGCAAGTCTCTAAACGTTAACTGTAAACTCTATGAACGTTCGCATATAATGAATTAGTTTCGCGCCAAAACTGTCCGTGCAGAGTCTGGGTTCTAAACTATGAAATGAGCCCACAGTTACATGGCTCCCTTAAATTGGTTCAGTCAAACAATTTACTATATAACTTAAAGCTAAAGTCCTTTTAAAGGTTAAAATATATCGTTCAGTTAGGCTCTCCGTTGGGGAATCGTTTATCTTCATTTTCACTTTGATTACCATCGCATTTTAATAGTAGTACCAACTTCTGGATTGGTCGTTCCAACACGCTTTTGGCACGAACGCGCTCTCCCTTTCGATTCAGTGAAGGATCACTCATAACCAGCTTCACCTTTCGCACAAATCCGTCCTCATCAGTATAAGCTTCTTCTATGCGGGCCATACGCCAACAATTTCTTGGCACGTTACCTTCGAGAAATGGATCCAAACGATGAAGCAAACTGGTCTTCTTCATGACCGCTTTACGTCTTCGAACGTCGTCTTGACCAGAATCGGGTTTCTGCATTGAACGCAACGTTTGGATTTCCTTTGAGAACGCTTGTTCTTGTACTTGCTTCACGATTGCAACTTCGGCTTGAAGACGCTCTTCGACGTTCGATGCTTGATATTCGGTTGTGGAGCTGATGGGAGCTTCATCGGGTCGCAAGTGAGATTTCTTCCATCGTCGTTGAAATCTTACGATTACGGCTACGGCTCTTTTGGCACGATGCCAATCCGAAAAGTACTCGAGACGCTCGGGAATTGTCGAGAAGCTTCTGGATGTTACTTGGGTGACGAGAACGTTTGTCTTCACTTCGGGATCGTTACTAGGAAGTGGTTGGTGGTCGTCAGCGGCCAAGTCGAGAACACGGTTCCATAGGAATGGGGGTCCTGAAAGCCAGCGTTTACTGTCGAGAAACTCGCGAGCCGTTAATCCCCTCGATGCGTCGTCGGCCGGATTTTCCTTGCTTTCAGCGTATTTCCACTGCTCTGGAGAGGTCTCATCTCGAATTTGTTGTACGCGATTCGCAACGTAAACGTGAAATCTTCGAGCGTCATTACCAATGTAGCCAAGTACAACTTTACTATCGGTCCAATAGATGTCAAGAATCTTATCATAGTCAAGTTCACGGTGTAGCACGGTGCTTACTCTGACAGAAACTAACGCTGCGGTTAACTCTAAACGTGGAATCGTGACGTTCTTTAGGGGAGATACACGTGACTTTCCCATTGCGAGCGCACAGTGAACTTCGCCGTCGTGGTTCAACAAGCGTACGTAGGAACATTGTCCGTATCCTGACGTACTAGCGTCGGAGAAGTGATGAAGCTCTACGGATTTCAGTTGTTCGAAGCCTTCGGTCTGAAACTTCTCTGTACTTTTACGTCGTTGAGTAGGAAAAGTTCTCTTCTCCATCTTTCCCATCTAACTTTGATTGAATCTGGAATTGGGTCGTCCCAGTCGGCTCCGTCTCGACATAGCTCTTGAAGAATTTGCTTGGCTATGAGCACAACGGGTGACACAAGACCAAGTGGGTCGTATACTGAACTGACGGTAGAAAGAATGCCCCGTCTTGTCAATGGGCTGTCTTGCACTGTTATTTGCAATTGGAAGGCGTCGGACTCGATACACCACTGCACTCCCAGTGCTCTTTCTATCGGTAGGCGGTCGCTTCCGAGATTGAGGTCCTTCAACTGACACGAACGATCTTCGGGTGGGATTGCTGCGATGACTTCTTTCGAATTAGAAGCAAATTTATGGAGTCGTAAGCCACCCTTCGCACACAGTTCTTTCGTTTTCTGAATCAAAGAAATCGCATGTTCGGCTGTGTTGACCGACTTTAGGCCGTCGTCGACATAAAAGTTGTCCTTAATAAAGTTTGCCGCCTCCGATCCAAACTCTCTCTCGTGGTCTGTTGCGATTTTCTTAAAGCCGTAATTTGCGCAACCTGGCGAAGATGCTGCGCCGAAAAGGTGTACGGTCATTCTGTACTCCACCGGGTTCTTCGTTATGTCGCCGTCCTCGAACCAAAGAAATCGTAGGAAGTTTCTGTATGCTTCGATAACCTTGAATTGATGAAACATCGATTCGACGTCGCAAGTAAGCGCAACAGGATCTTGTCTGAACCGGCACAGAACACCTACGAGTTGATTTGTGAGATCGGGCCGTTGTAATAGATGGCGGTTAATGGATTCACCTTTGTAGTCTGCGCTGCAGTCAAAGACGACACGTATCTTGCCTGGCTTTCGCGGGTGGTATACCCCATGATGTGGAATGTACCATGTGCTGCCGTCCTCATTTTCCAGCTCCTTTTCAGGAACTCTCTCAGCATGGTTTTTCTCGATGAGGTCATTCATAAAGCGGCTGTAATCTTTCCGATATTTCTCGTTCTTCTCCAAGCGAATTCGTAGTTTCGACAGTCGGTGTAAGGCTAGCGACTTGTTGTTGGGCATCTTTGGTACTAGCTCACGAAATGGTAGGGGCATAACGTAATGGCCACCTTCTTCTTGATACGCTCCTTGATCCATCTTAGATAGGAATTTCTTATCGTCCTGTGACATTGATGGCTCAGAACTTCTTCTTTCGGAAAAGTCCAACTCTAACATTTGGCACAACTGAGCAGGATTAATAACTTCCTTCACAGTTGGCTTAATGGCAAAATAACAAGTCTTCCGCTGTGGCGTGTTGGTGCTTGTGGGGTTACGCGTAGTTACTCGGTGAACGATGGCTACTGAACTTTCATCGTTGTTTTCGGTGGGCTTGGTAACATTGCCGATTATTCCCCAGCCCAAATCAGATCTTTGCGCGTAGGGTTCATTTTGCTGACCGGGAATAACTTCGCGCGGTATTATTGCTTGAGGACAGTTCGAACCAATCAAAAGTCCTACTTCGATATCGTTCTGAGGATGTATCAGATGAGAGGCAATGTCTCTGAGATGGGGCCACTTCTTAGCCATTTCGGGACAGGGGATTTGTTGACGTCTTGCTGGTATTGCGATGCAGGAAAAACTCGTGGGAAGTTGAATAACCTTTCTATGCATAACATCACTGATTCTTAGTCCCTTGATCCTTTGACTGGGTAGCAATTCATTCTCCGCGTGCATAGTCGACAATGATAGCTGTGTCTTCGGTCCACTGACGTTAAGGTGGTTTAATGTTTCCTGCGAAACAAAGGTCGTATCAGACTGATCATCCAGCAGCGCATAGGTAAGTTTCTCTAACTCGGGATTATGCTCGTGACTAATCCACACGGGTACGATCATCGAACTGATTTGATGCTCGTTACCGTCGTTCATAAAACAAGTCTTTGTGCAGTTGGTCGTAGCGGGATTTTCAGGGGATTGGGAATTCTGATTGTTC